CAGAAAATCAACCCCACTAGCCTGGCTGGGTATTTTAACACTCTTTTGCTGACGTCTTTTTTACCTTCACCTTTGTCAGCTTCCAGAGTCACTTTCATTCCGAAGACATCACATCCCGATAACCCTACCGACTTCCGGCCTATTTCCATCACTTCTGTTGTTACGCGCTGTCTGCACAAGATTATCGCCAAGCGATGGTCCAGATCATTCCCAATGGAAAAACTACGGTTTGCCTTCCTGCAACGTGATGGCTGCTTCGAAGCAACCAATCTACTTCACGCCATCTTGAGAGAAGCGCACTCCAACTACACAAGTTGAGCGTTAGCTATCCTCGACATCTCGAAAGCTTTCGACAGCGTCTTACATCAAACAATTCTAAGGGTGGCTGAGAGTTTTGGTGCGCCCCCAATGCTTGGAGAATATCTTACAAACTACTAGTCCAACTCCTACAGTCTCTTCCACGAAGTGAATTGTCATCCAACACGAGGAGTCAAACAGGGTGACCCTCTGTCACCGCTTCTCTTCATCATGACTATGGATGAGATACTCAGTGTTCTTGAAGCCCATGACCCCATCTACGTCGATGGACATCCTCTGCACTACATAGCATATGCTGATGATCTCATCATTCTAGCTCCAAATGCTTCGGCTCTTCAAAACAAACTCAGCTGTATCGCGGCCTCGCTGGAGCTGGCGGGAATATCGATCAACGTCGACAAAAGCCGCACAATCAACATAGTCGCTGACAGACAGCGTAGAATCGTTGCCCTTTCTCCTACTGTCTTCAATATCAACTGCCTGTCAATTCCAGCCATCTCTCCAACAGAGGAATTTACCTATCTGGGTGTTCCCTTCAATTACAAGGGCAGGCGCTGCTTCGGTCATGTCGGCGTCCTCAATGAATACTTAGACAATATGAAAAGCGCCCCCCTTAAACCTCATCAACGAATGAGAATTCTGAAGAACAATCTGATTCCTCGTCTACCATATTCACTGACTCTCAGCATCACTCACAAGAATACTCTGAAAACGATGGACAAACTTATTCGTGCAGCTGTCCGCCGCTGGCTTCACCTCCCAAAATCCACTTCAACTGCATTTTTCCACGCGGATATCAAAAAGGGAGGTCTGGGGATTATGAATCTCTCAACAACGATTCCGAGTCATAGGCGCAAAAGAATCGAGGCACTACTCAACAACAGGAATCCGCTCATACGCAGCATCGCGTCCTCCGCAACCTTCACACCTTTTCTTAGGATCTGCAATCTTCCGATGCAAGCCCATAGACAAATAGTAACATCAGCAGAAGAAGCCCATGAAAGCTGGGCACAACAGCTACACTCATCGGCGGATGGTTACGGTTTGGCTGAGTCAACAAAATGCCCTGAATCTCACAAATGGCTTCTTAACCCCTAAATGGTCTTGCCCAAACTCTATGTACGAGCCGTTCAACTGCGTGGAGGCCTCTTGGGCACAAAAACGAGTAGTACGCGTGGACGTCCTAGAGCGGACATCAACTGCAGAGGCGGGTGTGGTCAACCGGAAAATCTTCAACACATTCTTCAGCATTGCGCTCTAGCTCATGACGTCAGATGCAAGAGACACAACTACGTCCTCAAGCTGATCGCTAACAAATTGTGCAAAATGAATACCAGATTTTACGTGGAGACATGTGTTACAACGCCCACGTCTTTCTGTAAACCTGATCTGATTATCTTGTTAGACGGAGTAGCATACATTCTCGACGTAACAATCTGCAGCGACGCCTTCATTTATATCAGCCATGCGTCGAAGATGTCAAAATACGGAACTCCAACGATGGTTGCTGCATGCCAACGGTTCCTGTCTGCAATGGGACATACAGCTCAAAGAATCTTGCAAATTCCTGTTGTAATCTCTTATCGAGGGATGATCAGTCAACTCTCTGCAAAATACCTTCGCAGACTCTCTTTCACCTCCTCCGACATTTCGAACCTCTGCATCTCAACCATCAAAGGCTCTTTGAAAATATATGATACTTATATGCGTGGAACGTATAGACTCAGACGTGCAAAACAACTGAACCAGTGATGTTGTAAATTTATTGTCATATCAAACTACTCTGTGAACGTTTACTGTGCTACCATCTGTTGTAATACACTGCGAGACAAATTGTGACACTCATACACATATATATATACTCATTGAACCTATAGTACTGTTATGAACCACCTAGAATACGTAACAATTTTGTTTATTCTATATCTTCTAATTGCTCCACACTATGTACACGCAAAGAGCATATTGTCCTTATAAAACTCTCCGATGTTAAAGACTATTGCTACACACAACTGTCGCTGATATCCTATGATTCACATCCAAATGCTCGAAATTGGAAAGATTCTTGTATTACATTTAATGATTTTAAAGATATTGGATATTGAAATCACACTTCTGCACCACATATGAATGTCTTACATGGACACATGACATGAAAAATCACACATACAAATACATAAAACTGATAATCCTGCAGCAAATTCATCAAATTCATGTAATTTAAATAACACTTATCCACGCCTGTACAGCTGGTGTGTCCTACATAGATAGGAAATATATATTATTATTATTGCCTAGAGATACCTCGAAATAGTTTCCACTGAAGGTAATCTCCTGTAGGTGCTACCTTAGCGAGCGACCGAACGTTATCTCTGAATTACAAAGTAAAAGTAGACATCTTGAGAATTTTCTTGGTAAACGGATAGTCTCCTAGTCGAAAAAAGTAAATATATCCTAATCTCCACGAAAGCGTTTAGAGGTATATATACTATCATATCAATGACTCAATAATCGCAATCACTCACAAAGTAGAAATAAATCCACCGAAGACAGTGTGCCCATGATTTCTAGAAGTCGTAGTGCGCCATGAGGAGAAAGCTATATAAGAGTTAGATGCGCAATATTAATCCAAAGTATAGCGACTACGGTTCTCAGTCACACGCCATCTATCCGTCTAACCGTGTCAACAAATGTCTCACCAAGAAAAAGAATACCACTGGTCCAAGGAAGATTTATTTTAAGTTTTTCTAAAAATCATGGACGCACGTATTGATAGCGATGGAGAAATTAAAAACACCCGAAAAATGAGACTTTGATTATTTGAACTGAAACAGGCAGTTTGTATTCAGCCAATGTCTTCAGCCCCAAAAATAATCAGCCTCTCACCGATTGTGGACCACAATCCGAAACGTTGTTCTTGCTAATTAAAGTCTCACCTTTATCTGGGATAGTTTGTACACTCATCAGATCATCGTACGTTATCCGCTCTCTAAGTCGTTTTGCAACATATTGAATGGCTGTCGACATTGACTCTAGTATAGAGAGTCCTAGTTCATGTATTTGGATCTAGTACATTAGGTACTAACAAAATTAGAGGTTCCTGACTGCCTTCCGATTTCTTTTTGTCTACAAAGGCACATACAAACACCACACATTCATGCTTCACATGTGGCTCATCCTTGTTTAATTTAGATTCTCTCACAGTATATCTGATTGTGACTGATAATAGACATACTGATGGTACACCCACCTTCTCCAAAAGCTCCAAAGGTTTTTCAACTCCAACCCAGGTTCTAAATTCTCTAGGTTTAATATGTTCTTCGAAAGCCTTGCTAATATCAACTCTGATCGTGCTCTCTTCACCAGATTGATTCGTAGATTATTGAATGTTATAAACACGAACGTGGAAGACATTGTCATTTCAAGATTTCTACATATTAATTAACCAACTGAGCCAGCGACAATAACGGCAACCAACAAATGAACTGGGAGAAACAGCTTCTGCCACCCAAACATGTTCATGTGCATGAATTCCAAAGCTTCTACACAGTACTGTTTCATAAATAGCTGAAAAAAACTAAAACACTGAAACGACGCATGAACGCTAAGTATGAAACAATTACAATGAAATGAATGAACTGACCTGCTGGTAAAAACTTTCGAAACAAACGAAATAACTAATTTTAACAGCAACGGAAACAAAAATGAAGTGAAACGCAACATTTGTGAACAATGTGTAACAAGATAAGGATAAACGTAAAAGCCAATTTGTAAACGAACGTTTGGGGAACCGCAATCCAACATGGCTGACTACCATGGACGAAAGTAACCTTCAGGAGTCTAACTCTCCCAATGACCTTGGGCTTGCGGGATAATTTCAATTGCTTTAGAGCAAATAATAAGATTGGAACAAATGGACAAAAAAGACGAATGACACTGACAAGGAGATAAAAAGTAGGAATCCATGATAAAATTAAACAGATGAGATATTTGTGACACTAGAACATCCCATAACATTTGAATGCTTCGCATATATAAGCAGGAAACTATTGTTTTCACGGAAGAGCATAATCTTTCCTCGAATTCATCAGCTAATGGGACTGTGTCAACTTCAGTCTATAGTGAATTTCTTAAGCATTAATCCCCTAAGGTAGAAAAGATAACCATCTATCATTTTTAGTGCCTTATAACTCTTTGGAAGTATTCTCCTACGATTGCTGATCCAGAGAATTTATATATTCCCATTTTGTCTGCGCAGGAGCATGAATTATTCATGTGTATGTGGACGATCTCCTTGAGCACGAACTACTGGTCTTCGAATTTCTTGGTTCCAGCTCTTACCACTGGTGTTGAGGCGCTACCAGTAAGGTGCAAACCATACAATCCCTCCGAAATAAATCAATGTATCTCCACTTTTGGAGTTTAGCAGAGCTGCAAAACTCAGGAGAATAGATTCTCTGCACTGGTATCCGATATGCATCTACAACTGTTCCAAAACAACAAGAAGTGAACTCTGAAAAATCAGATTTTGTACAGGCACGTGAAACAGATGTTAGATTATATACTGGATACAGCATATCTGTTGAGAAACTTCTCAGGAGACACTTAAACTTTCATCCTATAAATACACATAGAAGTGACCACCTGGTTCTTTGTTTAGCCCGACTAACAATCACCTGTTTGTTTTAATTCACCAACTTTGACATTCCATTGAAGGACACATTCTCGAAAATTTAGAATTGAAGTTATGCGTTTATGTGAGTCTATGAAAGCATGAATCAATAGTATGATGAAAGCAATACTGAGTGACCACTCAAATTTATTTTAAATTCCGTCTCGTCATTTTACGTGTTTCGTGGTATTCACACTCCCGTGAAAATACTCTGATTACGCTCGAGTAGGTTCCTATTGATCAGAATCGCTTCAAAACCAGTTTATGAGAACACCTTAGTGGCTTTCGCCAGTCAATTTGATCATATAGGTTTGAGAAAATTTCATCAAATAGATAACTCACATTTCATGAAGTTTGTTTCGACTTGTGGGTTATATTTGCTTACTCAGGTATTATAACATGTGTATAGGCTACAAGAGCCTAATATCCTTATTACCTGAATCTGAGTCTGAAATTTCGATGTCTATATGTTATGCAGCGCCGCACGTTACTTATAATCAAAGATTTTAGCTTCAGCTTTTCTCGAGATTATTTCGAGGTAACTCTTGCAATTCTCGTGAGGATCTGATCAGGTCTCTGGATTGTGGACAAATATGGTCACGATGTCTCAAGTTCTGCCGGTGCACACTTCCATAAAGTTTCAAAAACGGAGCGGTAATCTACAGTGGACAAGACTGAAAAACAAATTTGCTCGACGATGTCCTCACACTTACTGAGAATTTACTCCTCGCTAGAAAACTACACTCTAGAAAAGTAATAGTTTTATGTCAAATAACTGGTTATCTGTGTGTTCATGATTATAAAACAGTAACGGAAAATTGTGTTATGGGAAGGTCTCACGGTATTCCGCGTGAGTTGCCTCACCATATTTTGTTAGATTATGCAACATTGCAAGCAATTTATCAATATACACCGATATTTAACTTCAATGACTGCTAGGGTTAATAATGTATATGCGACAGTCTGTTGACATATGACTCGTGGTAGGGGGTAGCATTTTATTAGAGGTGTTGAATTAAACCAATGCTTCAGGACATATGCTGAACTGATGCTCACAAGTGATATTCAACACCAAGGAGACCAGTAGAGTGGGTAAAATTGAAGGGGAAGTTTTTCTTTGAGGACTGGAAATAGGATTGTTAAGAAAATCATGGGAGTGTTTCTGATGATGAATTCAACTATGATACTTCATGCGTGTGTGCATTTTTTGTTTTGCCTTCATATTAAGTGTTATTTCCTAACCAAATCTCACAGAAATCTTGTGAGTGATATGAATACCTATTTTATGACTACTAAGTAGTCCCGGTATGCCTTACAAAACCCAGTTATTCAGAAATTCCTTCAATTCAAACTACGAGAGTGTTAACATTGATTTCATTCTGCTTGTAAATTCTCGTACTTCTTCGTGCTGTTTTATTTCTGTAAATTAATATACCCGTTGTATTCAAAATCTCCTTTGTTTACACATATAGGTCAAAAGCTTGATAACCTTTATCAATCAAAGACCAGAAGATGGGTTGCAATTGTACTCGGAATATTGGAGTTGTTTTGGTTTAGCGGTTATTACTATGGTTTCAATTCGCTTATTCCAGCCTGGAAATCACTCAAGGTGTTTGCATATAACTGCAGTGATACGAGTAACACTTGCATGTATCATGATTCTATGTTTGGAAATGGTTTTGTGGTATGGATTGTAACGCAAATGTGCTTGATAACATTCGCTGGACTGATCATGGATAGAGTTGGATTGCGGGCAATGAAGTTAATAGCTATTTGTATGTACTTTATCGGCACAATGTTATTTGCTTATATACATGGTCATACGGAGCCACTTTACTTCATTTCTGGTATATTAGTTGCGCTTGGCAGCACATCGAATTTGATATGTAATCACCAAATTACTTCGATGTTTCCCAAATATCGTGGAATTTGCATTTCCCTCTTATCTGGCGCCTTCGATTCAAGTACGCTTATCATATTCATATTCTCTAAAACCTATACGCGACTATCTCTGCAAACATCTTTCACCATCTTAGCAGTCACCTCACTTTGTGTCGGTTTATTTATGGCTATATTTATTTTAACTACAAAATCGGGTGATATGAGCAGGTTTGCATACAGCAATGAAATGGTTGACAACAGTCACTCTAAAGGACTTGAACAGGTGAAAGCTCCTTCCGATGGTATCAGTGGAAATACTGAAAAGATGGTAGGTTTTCTTCTTCGTAAATAATCTTATTGTTTGTGTATTTTACGAATGGGCATAATTCTTGATTATTTTGTCTGTGGGATCAACACTTGGCCAGTCGATATTCTTATTGATAACACCATATGTGACATGAAATTGTTTAAGACGCTTGATTATGAGGTATCCCATTTCTCACTGATACGCACCTCTATCCGAATCTGAAAACGAAACCTCTCCATATTTAGAAGTGTTTCATTTCTCTGGAATCTTAATGATCAGCTAATGAAAGGAAATACTAATTAGTTTCCTTGGTCATCAAGTTGACTGTTGCTTCCATAGTAATTTCTAAAATACTAGCAGTAAAATTCCGGTATGAAATTTTGTCAACTTCGCCGATACTCAGTACATCTGTTAACTCCTCGGTTGGAACTTAGTGTCAGATTTTACGTGAGGCACACATACTCGGCATTAATAGTTTATGGATTTATTTTGATGGAGCATCGTTTACTTAAGGACATTAAATTTAAGGATATCTAGTTAAAGTTGAACTTCCTCATTCGACGAGGAGAGTTTTATTTTTAAATCAGTAAAATGTTAGCAGATTATTATTGTTGCTATCATTATTTCAGACGAGGAGAGAAGTACAGATCATAGCATTCCCTTTGATCTCGTGCATTATTTAGAGCAGCACTTTGAGACAATCATAACTAATGGGAAGTGATGTCTTTTTTTTATGAAAATTTATTGAGGCCCTACTTTGGAGTAGAACTTCTTCACTCGTGACATAAATGAGTGTGTAGGAAATAGTTTGTTAGCATTGGAAGGCTCTCCGGGGATCGGAGTTGTGAAGAATTCCTAACCAGCCAAGAGTGATTTTGACTATCCCTTTGCCGAGTGCAGGGATAATCACTGAGGTAAAGCCCACTGAACCACGCTAGAACCACACAAATATCCTGTCGAACTGGAGTCCAACTGATCAGCTAAGGCACTGATATATATAAATTCGCTAAGCTGGTGATTTGATTGCATTTGTGACGTATATTACGTCCATATTCTGGAGGATTGAACAATGAAAGAATAAGAATAAGCTGTTATGATTGCATATTTCTGTTCCTTGTGGTGAAGTCTTCGTATAGAAATCCAACGAAGGCTGCGGATTCGACTCAGCTGGCTTACAGAATGCAGTCACATCAAAACAGTACTGTTACCTTTATCCGACTAGTAGCTGCTGGTTGTGAGAAGAACAAGAGATTTGTCGCTTATTTGCATTGTGCTAATTTGAAGACTATCTTGTCCGAGAGAGGCGTTCCATTATTGAGTGGATTCAGTTCGTGGTTATTATTTTATTTCATATGAATTACAAGGGAATGGTGTTGAACAGCTTGCAAAGTTTTTCACCTGTGAAATAACCCTGCCCAAGGAAAATGAGGTTATTTTGAGGAAGATGGCACTGTCTTTCGAAATAAAATAGTACTAGTCTCGTAGACAGTCATTAGGAGTGTATCATGATCTCCACCGTTCATCTCATATTCAGAAGTGACTGGTACCCAGATGAGGATAAAAATGAAAGATGTATGTGTGTGATATTCCACTTCTTTCGGGTTAAGAATGCGGTCTGATATACCCAAATGGACTGGTTTCACAAGTTTGTCATCCACGAAAACAAACTCAATATATGTGCTTTGGTTAGAGATGACGATATCGACAACATTCTGGAGTGGGTCTGGTTTTTCATATTTATGCGGTTCTGCGAATACTGATATTTTAGTCAACTTTTCATTTAAACTATAGTCACCTACGAATTTTCAGTAAAGTTTACTACCTCCAAATGAATTTTTCTAACTTCTAGTTGCCGAGTGAAGAAGAGACGAACAATGTTGATGTGACGAGAAGAGTCAACACAATCATAGAATTACGTTATCAATCCTTGAAAGATTGTATAATATCCTTGCCATTCCTGATGATTGCAATATGGTTTACGATTGGTCTGTTTCGTTTCTCAACATTTCTCGGACAACTGCAACGCTTGATATATGAGTCGTTTGGCGACGATGAGGCGACAGTGGACCATTTGCTCCAAATATCATCAGCATTTTCAATGTGTGGTTTTCTAGCGGCTCCACTTACCGGTTTCATACTGGACACATCACAAGCTTACTGTCGAAGAAAGATAGCACGGAATGCAAACTGGAACATAGATAGCAGTGAGTTGTACGAGAATGGAATTTACTACACACATATCTTCGGACTGGCGCCAGGTTTGTTCATCATGGCAGTGTGTGCAGTGTTTGTGAGTGGTTTAGTATTTATACCCAAAGTGGCCGCCTTCTATGCTGCATTTGTCTTCCTGGTGGTGTTGCGTTCACTGTTGTTTAGTGCATCTGTTGGATTTTGTTTAATCGCTTTTCCCATCCATTACTTCGGGACAGTCAATGGTATATTGAATACGATCGGTGGTGTGTTCAGTCTACTTCAGTATGCATTTCAGTACACGCCGACAGCATCGATAGCTAATATAATTGCAACTGTTGTCACTTTCGGGCTATTCATACCTCCTATTGTTCTTTTTAAGAAGAGTAGACAATAGCCTCAGATGAGTGAGTAACCAAGACTTCAGGGATGATCTTCACAGACATTTTGTTGCTAAACCTTTCTCGCTTTCCCCACCCCCCCCTAACCGCTTGCTTTCTCCGTCTTTGTCATTGATGTATTTCTTTATTTATTCACTGCTCGACTTATATCATGATTGAGGTGGAAATCCTCTTTCAAACAGGCAATCTTTCGTATTTTTTAAAATTTTCGACGCTTACTCTTTGCATTATTATTTCTGAATAATTCAAGTATCTGTTCACTATTTTATGCGTTTGCAAAAATCATGTTTTCATTCAGGGTATTCTCCAGGCTTTTGATATCAGAGCATTTTCTATGTCTTTTCTAATAGCAAATATATTCAAATTACCAGTTTGCTTGTTTGCTTGATTGTTTGTATGTTTGTTGTTGTCACTGTTCAGCGCTATCAGTGTAATCTTTCGTCTTCAGATGAAGAAGTGTATCAATGAATTAGTTGTTTATCTTCTATTTGTAAAATCTCGATAAATCTGTCTGATGTGCGCAATTTTAGCTACATTGACAAATATAATAAGACTGTTGTATCATGTTGTGTGTTATAACTTTGGTCATGTTTGATTTGGGATTCGGAAAAGGGGGAAAGTATTCGTATGACGGCTTTTGATGACTGACTATAGACTAGGATTGTAATACGCTACAATTGAATGACGCCACTTTAGTGAACATCTTGTTGTTAGGGTGGGAACTGTTCAACATTCTTATGGGATTCCAATGTTGATTTGTACATATTCAATTTGTTACAGGATTTCATTATGAGGTGACATTGGTTAGATAACCGTATGAAAACCAGGAGGGAGTATTAGACAGCTGTTTTGTGAGAATAGTTTCAGACGCGTCATCAGTTCGCACCAACGCGTGAGGTTCGAACCCAGAATCTTCTGGTTACAAGGCGAGCTCGTAGACAGTTGTACTGCTGACACCCGAACCAATACCTTTCCAATGAATTCCAACTTCCACCTGTTCGAGATTTAGCGCGGATTTATGGTTCGTTGGATCTAGTGCCACTGGCATGATTTTCTACGATGTGGCCTTCTAACCGGGTCAGTGGTTCGAACACTGACTGTAGGTGCATACTGGTGAGTGGTCCGAATTCCGTAAGAATCATATCCCCACTTTGGCAATGTTTTCCAATGGTTCTCTAGCCGGTATCTCTCCGTGGTCACAGCTGTCATACCAGATATGCGGATATCAGGTCATGATGACATTCAAATAACAAATTAGTAAATGTGATCATAATTGATTTCAAATCGAGTTAAAGCATCAGTAAGAAGTTTATTGCTTCGGTGATGATGTTGAGAAAATTATGTTTCTACCAGGATATGGATAATAACAGAGGACGTGAAATACAAACAATAATAATGATAGTTAAGATATTGTAAGATACTCTGATGGTCGATTGAAAGTGACCATTTTTCCTCTCTATATTGCGTGTAGGTCGAAATTGTGCGGGCATCTGATATTTTCCTTCCGTCGCTCTCTGTTTGTCTATTGACAATGGTAAATTACCTGTCAGTGTTCACATCATACTTGTAGTCTAGAAGATGCTAAGCTATCGAATTCTTTGGTATCCTGTTTCCACACTTTACCCACCTATTACGTAAATGTTCAATCACACGGATTGACAGGTTCGTTTTTGCACAACTTGTGCAACTACATGTGCAGATAGAAGTGTTCTAGATGTTATGTTACGCTTCTGAGTCAGTTTGTAGTCTAGCTGTTTTCTGTTCATACAACTTTGTGAAACTATCTGTTATTGGAGAATCTTTCTGTTCAACTTATGTCAATATATTAAACAGAGTTTCGACGGGTGTAACCGAATTGTTATTAGTTCCAGTCTAGGTTGTGCTAGTTGTTTTAATGCTATCGTTGTATTATCCTGCAATTAGGCGTAAAACTATCTCACAGAATCAGATAATCTTCTTTTAATGTTGATATTCCTTGATTGGCCTTCAATTCTTCTGCGTCGGTGGCACAGTGGTTAGGACTCTCGCCGACCATGCACATGGTCTGCGGTTCGATCCCCTGCCGACGCAGACCTGATATCTATGGTCGGCCTGCAAAATTTGGGCCACCGATATCCATGCTGAAAATTCCATACTTGTCCTGAAAATGCGGTGTGGCATCAAGCTGTAATCAAAATAAAAAAAATTTAAAAAAGTAAAATAATAATGTTTTGCAAAAGAGAAAACGTTGCATTGAATTGGGCGTAGGGTCTGGTGAAATGGTGCAGACTTGGTGATCACGAACAGTGTTTGTCTACGCCAACTGTATGTATACCAGTTCCCTGATTTTCCAGCCGGCTACTGAAGCGAGAACATTCCACGAGATGAGACGGATGTAAAGGTATATTTATAGATGGAACATTGGTGTATATATATATGAGCGAGTATAATCGATAGGCTATTATTCAAGCGATTTAAGAGACGAGTGAATGATGCATAATTCACACAACCTATCCATCCACACATGAAATTCTCTTTTTCACTTTGTGTCTTCCAAATGGAACATGGTGTTTCTAACTTTGGTGTTACACAATATTGGCGATGTTGTTATTTTTAAGGTGTGAGTTAATTAGACTTGCACCCAATTAGTTATTTATACCCGGGTTAATTCCTAGCTAATCGAGGTCCAGGAATATTTTTGATGAAATCATACGTGGAACTTTCAGCTGGTTGGATGAAATTCTCCCACTCAACTAAGGACGCATTTCCGTTCTGGGTTTGAACAAATCATTTCGATAAGAATATTCAAAGGTACATAGTGTCGACTGCAGAGAGTGATATTCAGAACTTGATTGATGGCTAGTTTGATGAAAGCCATTCAGTTCACATGGTTTAAGTAATATTTCATTTCTCTGAGAATGCTGGGTACAGAGTTCAGGATATTCATGTTCTTGTGGAGTAGGTTAATCTAGTCTGTCTGTACAATTGTCTCTATCATCACCTAAATACATATTGAACCTGATACTTAGTCGATTAGTCCACCTGTACAGACCACCCTAATGTCCACATTTAGATGTGAAATTGACTGCTTCAACCATGGTGAGAGTTGTATAACTCAGTGGAAGGGACTATGAAATAGACAGCCCATTATTAGTTCCAGATGGAATGGAGCTCTTTATTCTTATTGTTATTACTGCCTTGGTTTCGGAGTAGGATATAGGGTTTCAACAGCACTTATTCTCTTTGTCCTATTTTCTGCCATCCTCTTTATCTGGCTTCACGACTACCCATAATCTCTCATGTCCTCCTCAAACGATGATGTCCATACCACCCTCGGATCTGACTCCCAACACGTTTTTTGCCTTTTCGGTTCCTCTTGAGGCCCTGGCGTGTGATGTCACCCAGTGGTCTCCTCAGCATGTGCCCGGTACACCCCAAATTTACTTCGGCATACTTGTCGACCGATGGGTTGTTGGTTGATTCGTTCCCATAGTTTCTTACTGTTAATTCATTCTGGATATTTGATCGTCAATATTTAACCAGCGGGGGTAGTGGTTGATAAGAGTCTGAAGTGGCCTACTTGAAGTGCTTTTCGTGACGCGTGAACCACCAGCGGTTTCAGTTTACAGTTGCTCTTCTCGGTGACATCCTTCTGAAGCCATGGAATGATATGTCCATGTAGCATTACTTCCGTACAATAAAACTTATTTTTGCTAATATTTGACAAGGAAAATATTGTATTTAACATAAAAATCAAGAGCTGCTGCATTACGCGATAGAGAAACACTATGCTTGTTTTAACTCAGGTAAAAGTGCTTAAGTAGATTGTGTGTCATTCTATAGTTGACGATACTGGTTGGAATCCAACTGAAGCTGATATCAGCAGTGTCAAGTTTAGGTCGGTTTCATAACGAGTATAAGTGCAGTAATGGAGCGAGGGTGGAGAATGATATCTCCCTGAAAAGAATACCTTCACAGTGAACGCCTATGCACACTTACACACTGTTGTGTGTAATATTAAAGACACACAAGGATATATGTAATTGATAAATATATAATAACGGACCAGTTATAACGGAACACGTGATGAGTATGTCTCGTAGGTCAGTTTGAAATATGTGGAACGAGAATGGTAACATCGTGGCAAAGCGGTAGAGTGTCCGCCGACCACGCCTCATGTAGCCCAGTATTCAATATTCGGCCTCCGACTCAGTCCTTTACCTCGCTAAGCCAGTAATAAGACCACAACCAAATCTCATCATGCCAATTTCTCAGTATTGTCTCTTTTATTCCGAAATGTTGGTTGAATTCACACGGTTGGGTTTGTCTTGTAGCTACCGAGGCATATTCTTATATCTTCACTGATACTGCTAAACCACCAGGCCATTGGAAATGACTTTGACTTCAGTGCTGGAGGATGTTAGTTCGAAATTCTTAGCATTAGACTAAATAAATCCAACTAAGATTAGAGTTATGTCAGTTATGACGACTGTCTACACAACACAGATTTATAATTGCAGGGTTTCCTTTAAAATGCTAACAACAGTCTAACTAGCTTACTTCCAATATCTTCAGATACTTATTGCTTAGAATTGCACTCAAAGATGTTGCAACTGAGGTATTTCTGGTTACAAATAATCTTCTGTACGGCCGGTGTAAATGCATTCATCAGTTAGTAGGAATTAATTCGTGTCGTGCTGTTTCCTACTTTTTTATTCACTCTCCATCTGATCACATTTTTGCTGGAAATGTCATGAATGATAAAGTACACCGAAATAAAACCATGTAAACGACGTAGTTATTCAATTGTTTTCCAGTGAAATCCTGTTTGTCCTTAGACATTCTCAACTTCCTTACATATGCTGTGATAAAATAAGTGATGATAATGTAAATGCCTAATGGCATTACTCATGGATACTATTTTATGCCAAAGAACATTGTTCTTATATAAAACGACAGTTGATCTCATCCCCTATCAGGTAAATATTTAACCGGCTTTGACGAAACGAACTTCTAGTTTATTCATTGATCGTAAGGGATAGATCACAACATCTCAGTATCTCCTTCTTTATTCACAAATGATGGTTGAATTCACACGGTTCAGTTCGTCTTGTCGTTTTCGAGACATATTCATGTGTCTGTGAATTTAAGCTGTCATAGTCAAAGTGAAGATCTGTGAACAACTGACCTTTCAGAGCCGGTGAGATTAAGGAAACACTGAAAAAGAGTGGTAATAAGTCAAATCCTGTGTGCCTTTATGGATTTAGTGAGAGTGGATTCAGTATTCCAC